AAAAGAAAGGGAAAAGAAAGGGAAAAGAAAGGGAAAAGAAAAAAAAAAAAGCACAAGCAGTAGCCATATGCTTTAGCCATGTTCCTTCGGGCCTTGCAGTTACATCTGAACCTTCCAAAACATCACTGTTTCAGGTATGATTAAAATAATAGTCTCAGCTTAGAAATTACTGTATGCCATAAATTCAGTACTGAAGAATCTGATTGCCTTAACAACAACAACAAAACAACCAAACAAAAACACCCCAAAAAACACCTGTCCTCAACTAAACCATGCAAATTTTCATACTAAGCAAGCTTCAGATTTTATCTCTCCAAAGAGATTATTGCAGAATATGGCCTGGAGAATCACAGTAGAGAGCAGATGTCTAGAACTGAATAGACGCAAGCTCAGGAAGGAAATTCATTGTCAGACAGAGCTCCAGCTCTAAACTTTTAATTGACTTGTGAATCCCTTTCTACATGGATCTTTTTCATGATGACAGCTGACCGCTAAGACACAACCCAACCCATGTTTCTATATTTCACTACAGAAACAAAGCCTGTACAAACACTGTGTAGCCGAATACAAAATATATCAAGGTCACTCAGAAAGTCTACATTGTCTGCTAGGAGCTGAGGTTTTATTGTTTGATTGTCACAAAGAAGGGAATTAGCACCTTCATCCTCCTATACATTTCCCACCTCTTCTGTGGGAAAGTATCTTGGAAGAACCCAGAAGCAAAAAGCAATGCAGGCACATTTACCATGACCAACACATCTCCAGAGCTACCACTGCACTTCATAGCCACTTTCAGACTTGAGTATACCTACACTGATTGACTGACTGGTGGCTAAACACTTTTCAGCCTCCACCATCTACAGTCACCACACAGAGTATGGTCCTTTGTCACCCAACACAGCTGTGCTCAGGAAGCTACCCAGCCCTTCCCATACAGATCTTTGCGAATTCCTCTCTGGATTCCCCCTTCTATACTTCCTAATTTAACTAGCAGTAACTAGCTATGGTAGGAACACAGAAGTTGAAAAATCATCTAATAGCTATATAAATGGCAGCAAGAGGACAACTTGGGTTATCTAGACAGACCTAAGAAACCACAGCAGTTGGAGCCCAGTGGGAAATTAGTGATTTTAGGGAGAAAGTCTAGGAATTTATTTTTAAAAGTTCTTTTCTGAAAAGACTGAAACGAAACATTTATTTCAATTTTTTCCTAAATATTTGTTTAGATACTAGTTTTTATCCAAGGAGGCAATTTCCATCATATATTTAGCTTTCAACAAATCAGCATTTCCTGAATGAAAATGTTTCACTAACAAATTTTCTGAACAGTTCTACTGATGAAGTTTAGCTTAAAAAAAAGCTGAATTCTGTTACAAGAACCAGACTAACAGCTCTGAATATTACTGAACAAGCAAACAAACTTCTCCTGATGTTCCCCATACCACTGCAGGCTTTGAAAGATCAAATTCTCTAAGGAGGGTCTGGCCTGACACAAGATCAGGCCTCAGCACCACTGGTATATTCAGTGCTCACATTCTCTGATGAATCCATCAACAAAAAGGTGCTTTGTTTTTGTGATTTACCCTTTAAAGTTCAAGGCCTATCTGCAAAGACTAGAGTGCCTGTGTTAGTTTTGGAACTGCCCAGACTGAATCAAAACCTTGAACTAGATGTAGAGAGGGTCCAAAAACCTATTCAGCTTCCTAGAGTTATCAATGCACCCCTCCTTTTGAAAAAGATATATTGCCAATCATCTAACCAGATATTCAAAATCCAAACATATAACAATAAAAATGAAAGCAGCAAAAGGAAGCAAATGGCAGCAGCTATTGCAACTATTAAACGTGCCTCAGAAAACTTAGCAAAACATCACTGCTAAAACAATACTTCCAAAAATGAAAATATCAGAGCAAAGATATTTAAACTGTTTGTCCCTAGCAAGTAAAGAGGGAAAAAATTAATTTCCAAGGCAAAGTGGCTATCCTGGAGAACCTCCAGCTGGCAGCTTAATTAACTGGGAAGTGTCCAACTTGAACACCTTTGATGAACACAACTACAGCATATTATGAAGAAAAAAGCCAACTATGTGTGTAGCCATTTAGGACATAACTTAAAAATAAATATGGAACTAAGTGGAATTCTACCAGAAGCCAATGTAAATTTCATCTATACCACCATGTTTAACAAAAGGATTATCATATCCCATGCTACTAAGTACTTCATTATGTCTTTACAATTTACATCAGAATCCATTCTGCAAACTTCCATTCCCAGCACTGTGACAAAACACTGGAGGAATAAGGAAGCAAATTGCACGGAAGCACAAATTTGAGAAGACTTGGTTTTATTGTTTAATAAACGAAGCATGGATTTGGGTTTTTATAACATATTTTCTAACCTTCTGCCCAGTGTCATCTTCTTCTGTAAAAGGACATTAGCAACATTCTTGTCATCTCACAGAATATCAAAATTCTGGTTGCTGTAAACACTTCAAAACAACAATATGACAGAAATCTATTTTCATGACATTTACTCCTTCCAGCATGTCTCAGCCCAGCCCAGGGCTGACACAGAAGCCTGTGACAGACCTTTCTGCTGTCACAGGGACTCTAGCTTTACTGCTCACATACCTGCTGTGTAAGGATACTCATGTGGCTTGGTGGGGAATACTGACATGCTGCTTGCTTTTCTGCCAGCTGCTGCAGTTCTGCTGCTACCATACTGGGGCTATAACGTTTGCCCAGGGAAGTATCTTCTGCATCTTTGTGCATCCTGGCTGAGCCCACACACTGCCCACTTGGACTGCGATGGCACAAACCTACCAAACAAACATTTGGATATGCTTAGTGAGCGGTATGTCAGACTCTCTCAGCCTGCTGATCACACAGATACAAAAGCAGGTATGATACTTTCTGCAGACTGTAGGGAGAATACAGCCTTCTGTTCTGCATGGGTATTGCCTATATGGCCTTTTGTCAATTCCAAACCCATATGCTCTTTATCATAATGTATCTAATGGCAGCCAGTATTCTCTGGAATTGGGTGCTGTTACCCAAGTTAAATCTATGATGATTTTCCTTAAAAACAAATGGATCCCTTTAAATAAGCTACTCAGTTGGGAAGTCAGTTTTATTTTAATGCTAGAAAGGTTGTCAATATATATACAGCAACCCTAGTGAACATGTGCTGACCCTGACGTACAACTTAAAGCAAATGTATACCATCATTAAAAAAAAAAAAAATATATATATATTATCAGGACCACAGCTGTTAGCCTGTGTGTGGTTCCCAAAACTTTCCTAATAGATTACAGTCTGCATCCATAAATCCCTCCATTTCTGCTAGATTCCTTACATTCTAAAGTTGCATTGCTCAACTGTGTTCTACCCCAGAATGGTAGATAAGAGGTCTCTAGAGCTTGTTTTTAAGATACTCTTGCTTGGATATGCCAGTGCTGAAAGGTCCTAGAGAATGAGAAACAGTGATGATTCATTCAGATCTTTCTTTTTTGGAGGTCTTGACACACCTTTAAGTATTCAACAATTATGAGGTTTCATTAAAGGATTTCTCTGCATGATAGAGAAACACAGAACTAAGAACAGCATGTACACTGAGACAGGACTTCTGCTAACCAAAACTACACTAAAATCACTAAAGATAAAAAAGAGATCAGTAATACAATCAAGCAAAAATATACAACACTTCATTTCCCAGCTCTTTTTGAACAAGTTCAAAGGCTGAGTTCAAAGTTTGAGGCTGAGGGGAGACCTTATTGCCCTCTACAACTACCCAAAAGGAGGCTGTAGTGAGGTGGGTGTCAGTCTCTTTTCCCAAGTAACCAGCAATAGGACAAGAGGAAATGGCCTCAAGTTGTGCCTGGGGAGGTTTACATTGGGTATTAGGAAAAAAATTTCTTCACCAAAAGGGTTGTCAAGCATTGGAATGGGCTGCCCAGGGAAATGGTTGAGTCACCACCACTGGAGATTTTTAAAAGATGTGTAGACGTGGGGCTTAGGGACATGGTTTAGTAGTGGACTTGGCAGTGCCAGGTTAATGGTTGGACTCGATGATCTTAAAGAGTCTTTTCCAGCCTAAATGATTCTATGATTCCCTGTTCATCTGCTCAGTAAAAGGGCATCTTTGACAAACAAGGGCTGCTGCTTCCTGCACTCCTCCTTTCCATGAGAAATTCAGCACCATTCAACAAAACTCACAATTCTGGAAATGTCAAATTTCTACCTACTCCAGAACACAGATTACACAGTCTCTATACTGAACTAGCAGGTTATTACGCATCCCAGAACACTCACCTACTTTTGCAGAGGATGGTCGAGACAATCTTTGGCTGTAGATCTGAGCAGCTCTCTGAAAAGATGAGAATGGGCCAATGGTGTAGCTACCAGAATGACAACGATGTAACCCTGCAAGGCTAGAAGCCTCACTGGACACTTGGTTTGCGAAGACAGAAGAGCTGTCAGGAGCTGTGCTCTGCGAGGAAGGTAGTGAGGATGGGGACTGAATCAGCCTGGGACCAACTGGAGGAGCTGGCAATGAATGGTGACAAGGCCCCTGTGGATTTTCAGAGGCTGCAGGCTGAGATGGTATCCAGGAACTGGTATTTCTCTGGAACATGGCACCACAAACAGATGAAGAAGCACTAGGAGGGCCACACCGAGGTAATTTCACTTCAGCATTTAAGGAGAAGGTGGGTTCTTCTGGAACTACACAAAGATAATGAGCACACTACATGAGAAAAAGCTGCTTTTCAGGTCCTTCGGATAATATCAACACACCAAAGATGTCTCTACTCAGACACACTGAAGCCAAAATGACCTCATCTACCAGCAAAGACAAGAAGAGGCTCTACATGATGAATATACTCTTTAAAAGCTTGCCATATCTACATCTTCCCCCATAGAAGAGCAGCTAACTTTTTCATACGACTCACTCTACAGTATCTTTTCTTGGGTTTAAAAGAAAAACCTGCAGGATCTTCCCCAAAATTGGGCATTTGAATCTCTCAGTTTGAACCCAAAGGTTCCAACCTTTGTTTAAAACAATACTAAAACCAGTATATGCATTCATTATTTTTTTCTTGATGATGATTTAAGCCAGTTCACTTACAGGTTGATTTAACTTCTTTGGGTTTATAGCCTTTTAATGCTCCTTCTGCAGGCAGATCCGCAACTGAACTTTTGGGCTGATCAGCTTTTATTTTTTTCACCACCTCAGGATGCTCTATAACAAAATCAAGGAGTTAGGAAGCAGAATTCATTTCAAATCTCAGTGCCTTCAGTCTGCACATTCTCACTTCAGTCATGAGCCACCATGTCTAGTTCCTTATACTTATGCTAGTCCAGATTCATCCCATTTCACTTCAGGCAAAGAATGCAGGAGTACAGTTCCTCTAGTCTTCACACAGAGTCAGTTTAAAAAAAAAAAAAAAAAGATATGCAACCTCAAGAAACCTGAATAACCTTCGGGAAGGGGTTGTCCTCTTTCCACAGACTGAAGTCAAACTGGATTTGTCTGGGCAACATCATCTTAGAACTGCCTGCAACACTTACCCCCTTGAAGCTGTTTCTCTGACTGGTTACTGGTGTTGCTGGGTTTTGTGCTTGTGGAGTTTGTTCCTAGGAAGACACTTGCTGACTTGTTTTTGTGTGTGTAAAATGTCAGCACTTCCTCCAGGTCACTTTCACTACAATAAGGAGAGAAGAATGGATATAAGTGAGGATTCTAAGTTTTTCTGCCTTCATGTAACAATCAAAGACAAGAAATGATAAGGACACTGAAGAGGGGAGTGGGAAAAAAAGTGAGACTAGACAAGCTAATGATTTGCTCAGTTCTGCAGGGTAAGAGCAGAAGGAAAGGAACATGCCTTGGTTAAACCTGAGATTCCCACTGAAATGCCATTTTCTTATGCAGTAGAAAATTCAAGGCATTAAGGGGCCTTCCCAGGATAAATAAAGAGCAAGTAAAAACTCCAAACACATTTTGGGGAAGATCAGCTCAACAGGAGAGATTCAGTTCACAGCTAAATTTGTGAATCTTCCCCAGGTGCTCTTTAGAATAAGCAGCTATCATGTTCATGAGAGAACTCAGCTCAGCCTCTGGTTTAGTCATCATCAGCAGTCTCAATTCAACAGTGTGCAGAGAAGAGGAAAGAGGAGGGAGAAGCTTGTTAATTAGCCAAAACTGCAGGACAAACAAACAGAACAGTCAATATTTTTGTGAATCTCACAAAACTTGCATACGTTTCTCATTTTCTTTACAAGAAGAGAGTTTAACTGCCCCAATGTCCTAAGCGTCTATTGGTCCCGAACCAGCATCAATTACTTGGCCATTCATATTAGAGCTTGTGCAAGCTGTAATTCTAATTGTTTTGATATCTAACTTGTTTTCCTTTTGCTTTACAGTGTTGCCTCAGCGTTAGTGATTGGGTATATGGCAGAGCAAACACCAAAAGCAAGAAGTATAGTGCCAGCAACACTATAAGAAAACATCACACAGGAATATAAATTTGCATAGCATCAGTTATAATCCTTCAAAATGTCCTCTGCATATCGTACTTGTACTGGACTTAGCTAGCCTGAGTTTTGGTAAAAGAAATGTCTAAAGCTGATCCCACTGGAGTTTGGATCTTCAGGGCATGCTACAAAGTTCACCTTCCCTCCCAAACCAATGAGAACAGAGGTGAAGAGGAAGCGTAAGAATGAAAAGTTGGTGGAAAGGTGCTTTAAGCTTTTAAGTGAATTTACCAGCATAAATATATACTTTTACATTGCACTGAGGATGTTTAGAAGCAATGGTTGCAGCATGCGTATAACTAAACACCATGCCATCCATGTGATATAAAAGTTAGAGTCAATGAGACAATACCAATTACTAAGTGGCAAAATTTATTACCCATTTTCTTCACTGTTGTATTCACTATACTACAGAACAAACACTCGAAGTGGAAATCTATGCCCTTTGTTTGGCTCCAAATGACTAGCTCACTGATTTAAGCTTCAAGTACAGTGCAAAGTAGTGTCAGATATCAGAGCTCTCAAACATACCTGATACTTCCTAATAAGCAGAAAGATCATCACTAGAAATTGTCTGATCATTGGCAAACTGGCTTTTGCTGTTCTTTACCACTAAGGCAGATGATCCAGCAAAAATCTCCAGCCCCAGCCTAGACTGTGCATCAGACCATGATGGCATGGTAGCCAATAACGTGGAAACAGAAGAGTATGCAGTTCTGCCCCAAACAGCCATCTCTTAGCGTTTCTGGCAAAAACCAAAACGACCTTCCCTAGGAGGTAACAGGCATTTCAGTGGCCAGAGATGTCAGAGAACCAAAAGCATGCCATGGGCCCACATAATCTGCATTTCTAGTGATAGGAATAGATGCTATGCTATATGGTAGTCAGATGTCTTGAGTATAATATAGATCTCCATCTGAAAAGCAGCGAGATTTTTCTTGGAGCCTGTAAATCTGTTGTGGTAATGACTCTGAATTATATTAGCAAAATGTAAAATTCATTGATGCTACATTCTCATGAAAACAAAAGAGACTGTGAAGCCTCCCAAACTTAGTTAAGAAGCCTCAGCTATCACACACTTCTAATCAGTCACTAAGAGTGCTATCCAAATGAAAGAAAAAGAACGAACAGTTTTGTAACTGATCATGAAAAAGAAGCAGTGATTGTCAACCTTTCCAGAGAAGACAAAAGGGCATCAAAAAGGCAGGTGAACTCTACCTGTCTGGATACTGACAGGGGTCCTTGCCCATATAGGCATGTCATATGTGGGTCAAATAAAGAAGTCAAAAGGAATCAGGTTTTGTGCTCAAGAATCAGAGACTTTGAGGACATAATTCCAGTTCACTGAATAATTTCAGACCTCTCCATACTCAGATAGCTATAATATCATTGTTTTTTCATACAATGCTACAGGCCATAAAGAGTATTTACCTATTTTCAAAACACGTTTCCTACCAGACTCTTGTAAGTTTACGGCAGATAAAGTTCAGAGGATGCACAGTTAGAAAATGCTGCCTTTTCATCGTGAAAGTAACTGCTTGCACTGACCTGCCTTAGCAAGCCAAATAAGAGGCTAGGATGAAGACAGGGAGCCTAACACCCTTCCCTCCTCATCTCAGAAAGTCCAGACCTGGAGAGCTCCTGAAGAGAGGCAGCAAGCATGAGATTTGTTTCCGAGAGCAGAAACTTGAGAGCCAAGCCACAACAACTGTTCAACCACAGCAGCTCAAGGCCATCTGAGCAGCAGCTCTAGTTTCATTCTCTTTCCAAAGTACTGCCACATTTGCTCCAGCATCACAGGGAAGTAGACCATTAGCTCACCAGCATCAGCTTGAAATTTACACAGACTAGGGCAACCACTGCTGTCCTTTGGGAATCTACTTAATGGTCAAAACATCTATTGTATGTCCTTCTCTATGCACCAGATGCTGATGCTACAAGAGTTGGGTTGCTGGAAGGGAGAAGAGAGAAAAGGAAAGTTCTCTGTCCCTCAGCAAGAGCAGAAGCAGGTGCTACAGTCGATAAAGGTATCTAGAGACCTTTAGATCATTCAGATCATCTTTAGAACAATCCCATCAACTTCAGGGCTCGGAGATCCTTTATGAAAGGGAATAAAATCCATTCCTACCTTGCTCTGGTAATAAAGTTCTGAAAACCTTCAGGATTCACTCCCTCCTCCTCCTCTTCCTGTTTCTTTTTTGATCGCTTCTGAACCATCTGCTCTGTTTCCTGTTAATAAGCAGCATCAGTAAGTGTCTCCAAGTAGTTACTTTATGTTCCATGGCATAGCTACAGCTCAGAGAAGATAAAAAACAATTCCATGGGATCTAAGAAAAAAAGAATGTCAACTCCAAAGAGCCAAATTATAAGTATTTCACTATGTGCAGTAGAATGGATAAATATAGCGAGCCCCAGAGACAGCATGCTAAGCATACACTAAACTCCTCATTCCTCCACCTGACATAACTTATTAGAACTGATTTGCTGAGAAAAGGTCAAGTCTCCACAAATACGTGCTGCTCCTTCAAATATACTCTTTGCTGGGACATAAGGAAGTATGGAGGGAAAAAAAATAAAATCATTCTTTACAGATACTAGGTCCCCTTTCCACTTCTGCTGTTTCTGTCACAAATACAGAGTTCCTCAAAATAGCTTTTATTTGAGCATCTGTCCCTAAAGGAGATATTCAGGAAGAAAGGAGGACAAAAATATAAAATTGTATTAAAGAAACTCAATCAAGGAGGTCTGCTGAGGGCATCCACATTTCCTGCTGTAAATTAGGAGTTCTCCTCTTGAGTTAATTTCTCTTGTCATGCAGCAAATTGCCAAGAGCTTATCTACACACCAAAAATATACTGCTTTAGCAAAAGCAAAGAAAGTAAAACAGTACAGCCTGTGGCAAATATGCATTTATACACTAAAAAATACTGGAATAAAAGATGGTAAGCCTTTATGTGTGAGACTGGGAACAAGCTCTCGGATATAAATGATCTGTCTATTTTACAAGTAGAACTTGTTGACACTAGAGGTTGTATTGATACAAACATTTTTGTTAATTAAAAAAAAACAACCCTACAGGCCTGTCTGAAATACCAATACCAGCATACAAGCTTTATCTGACCAGACTTGACCTCCACTTCACTGCTTCCTATTGATACTCTGAGCATTCCCATGATGAAAGGGTCAGATACATCTTTTGAAAAATAATTCAAGAGGGGGAAGAAAAAGCTACTCTGGGACACATCTCTACCCTTCACTACTTAAGTAAAAGTCTGGACAATATGTGATCTGCTTTACTTAGTTTGCTGGAGGTAGTATTTTTTCTTCTGTGTCATTACAGAAGATACATAATGGCTAGTAGGAGTCCCCTACTAAATCTGAAGTTACAAGTCAGTGAAAGAAGTCTATATGCTGGAATCAGACATCAAAAAACCTCATAGCCTAAGAGTCTCTCAATGGCTTAAACGTATGCATCCTAAAACCTCAAGTGATCTGTTCTTACTTGTTTTAACTGAGAAAATATGTTTATGCACTGATTTATTACCAGTTACAGAGCTTTATTTTGTGAATTTACTCAAGAGTTAGCAGAAAATCCTGATGTTTGAATACAATTTGAGTGGAAATTCTATCCAAAACAGCTGCGTTCTTCACTCACCACAGAGCCACCCGAGTGTTTTGTGGTTACTCCTAACACAGTAATTCAGTGAGCAATAGGCATACAAGGCACTCCCTGGAACAGATTTTGTTCAATACCAACCTTGCTTTGACAGATCAAGTTACCAGATGTCAGTTCTGACAAGGTAATGTAAGTGAACATCCTCTGCTAACGAGTAGGAGCTTGGAGGCCTGCGTGCACAGCAGCCTCTGAAAGCAAAATTTAAACTACCCTTGTTCTAACACTGAAGAAATGCTAGGGGGCAAAGGAAAGGGAAAGCTGTCTTGCAAAACAAGGATTAGCATGAAGTCAATATGCTAAGAACAGCATCTTCTACATCTAAAGAGGTGAAAATTATTTAAATTAGGTCTTACTTCTCCTTATCACTGAGCATGCAGAGTCCCATACTACAGATAGGTACCAGTCCCTCAGTATACCAAACAAATGGTAAAATACATATTTCATACTGTTCTGTATAAAAAAATAATCTCTAAAGAAGCATCATAAAAATAGGGAGAAATAGGAAGAGGCATTACAAAGCATTAGAATCAAAGACAAGCCAAATTAAAAGCAAACTGCCAGTTAAATTCCACTGCATTTCAACACTTCTTTTTACTTCTATGCACGTAATTACTGGACTGCATATATAATGTAGTAATACTGTTGTCTATCTGACAATTTGAACAGACAAATTACCATTACTGGATGTGCAACTGCAAACAGACCATGTAAATTAGAGAACAGAGCCTTTAAAACAGCCTGCTGTCTTGATTATGACAGCAGCCAGCACGAGATACTTCAGAAGAAGAGAACAGAAGCAAGCCAAAAGAGCTACCAAAAGAATAATCAAGAAAGAGTTAGTCACCTTGTTATAACAGATTATGAACTCGCCCAGCTGGTGAGCCAGGATACGACGACGATCATTTAGTCCTAAACGACGGCTGGGAAGCAGCATCCTCAAGGACTGCTGAAGATTGCTGGCAGCTCGCTTCAGAAAGCGTACCACAAGCTCCTGCAAGCAAGAAAGATAGAGTTAACAATGGACCAGCTGCAAGATGTGGGGAGATGAGAACAGAGGTACTACAGCAGCTAATGACTGGCAAGAACTAAACACACTGTCCTGAAAAAATGAGCTGACAACCGGCAGGCAAAAGCACTCTGCAATGTGCATTCTTAATACAGTCCTACAAAACCAAGCTGGGGGGAGAACAATGGTGTGCGTTGCCTAAGGTGAGTCAGAATTGGGAACACTTGAGGAGTGTTTATGCGAAAAGCATGGCAGATGAAGAAAACAAGCAGCAAAAAGCAGCAACAACACAGAACAACCTGTAAAGTGCAATACATTAGGAGAACATTTCCAAAAAACAACCTACAATGTGTTAAAGAAGGCCCATGATGAAGCGTACTGACATAAAACCATCTCAGCACTATCACAAGGAAGGCAATCTTGGTCAGATATCTCCACTACAGTGATGTAGCCCCATTTCATCACTTTTCATATATGTATACTACATATATTGCTACAGCCTCTCCACAGCAACAGATGACTACATCTACAGCCATGTAATTCCAATCCCCCACCACGTCTGTTTGACCTCTAGTGTGGGAAACATATGGCAAGGCACATCCTAAGGCGAGATGCATCCTGTGGGTGTTTTGAACCCTTTCTGTCTCCCCTCTGGATTTGCTTTTGGTTAGGAGCTCTGCTAATGCATAAATGAGCAGCCTCACAGCCAAACTATTGGATTTCACAGCTCGCCTCTCACTGCCATTACTCCAGGCTGGTTTGATCTGTTATTTTAAACATTATTTTTCACAGTACAGCAGACAAAGTGACTCTCAAAAAGCCAGTTTTAATTTCCACTTGGAAAGAGCAGGGGTAACATTTTCCACTGAGTTGACTGATTATTCTTGACACACAATTTTATCTCTGAACTGCACTGGCTGTTTCCCTGCAACATGCATTCAGCAAGAATACATTTGGATTTGAAGAAAGCTCATGAGCCTACTGTACAAAGCTCTTTCAGGAAGGTTTGTGAGGAGATCTGGGCTTGCTGCACTCTTTAAAAATGTATATACATCAAATATCGGGCCTTAAAATACTGCCTAGAAAAATTCATCACATGTTTTTAAAAAAACAAAATAAAACAAAAAGACACCAAAAAACCACACACACAAAAAAAACCCACATCACACCACCTATGCTAGAAAGTAACTTTCTCTCCTCAGTGGCTTTTACTATTTTTTTTTTCCTCTATCTATGATGCAAGGAAGATTCCTAAGCACAGATGCCTGTAAAGAGTAAAGCAGTACTGGGTACGTGTTCTATTTAAGTAGATGTATGCTTTGTTTAACGTAGCAGAAACCAGAAACTGCCATGTAATCTTAACGAATCTTAGAGAGAAGAATTCAAAAGCAGGTAAGCTCAGAGATCAGTGAAGGAGAACCGGTGAAAGATCTGAGCAGCTTGAATGTCAACCACACTCTACGCATTAAGAGCTGTCTACTCTATCACTGCTCAGATGTCAGTCAGCAGTCCTACCTTTTCTGTATATTAAAAATACAGCACTGGCAGCTGGACAGAGATAGACAACTATAATCTCAGTTGGACTTCAGTTCTTCCAAGGAAGGGAACTGACCTCAAAACTCTCAAGGCAGATTTCAGCTTGGCTTCTCAGTCTGGCCAACACAAAGCTTCTTACCATTTGCTCATCCTCTTTGGCAGCCCAGGCAGGATTCTGGATCTGGTCACCAGCCTCCTTCATCAGTCGCAACTGAACATGCTGTAGATAGGCTGAGAAAGCCCTGCGAGCTTGCACTTTGCTGTGAACCAAGAGAATCAGTCAGCTATCTTCAGAGTAGTAATGGGAACAGTTACAGCAGTCAGGCATAGCTTATGGACCAAAGTACGGTCAGCAAGGACCTCCTAGGTGCACAAATGTTGAAGCTCAAGGGAAGGAGGATCCCTTCACCCCACCAATATTTCAGTTCACCAAGATGGGGGAGGTACTGCAGGAGATAGAGAGCATCTGCTGTCTTTTGTAAGTTCTAAGATCATCTCTAAAAATGGAATGCTCTCCTTGCCTTTTCACAGCCTTAGCTACTCTCCTCCAAAAGCCAATAACATGAACATCAGCAAAACTGTATATTTTTAAACCAAATTCAAGGCTCTCTTGGGCCTCTGTCTTCACAAGCATTTTGAACACCAGACCATAAAATAAATAAAGGGCTTGGTACTGGTGCCAGAGTTATAACAAAGGCCCTGCAATTCCCATTGGAAATGAAAGAATTAAATCTGTGAAAGTGAGCTTTTCCCCTGCTGGCCCAAGGACACAAGCCAAATTTCATTGAGCAAGGCACCACTGAAGAATGAAATAACACCAGCAAAATCTGCTGTGCAGCTGGCTGAACATGTTGGGAAGCTGTGAGCATGAACTGAGGAGAGGACTGGGGTAGGACTGGGAGGGACACATCGCTTCTCATTCCCTCACAGTGGTAGTCACTTTAGCGTATGCATCTGTTGTGAGAGAAATTGCAGAAAGCTTTGCCTAATTCTATCCACTGTCATCTTGGCCTAAACCCTATTCTCTAATTCTGCTCTCCCAGTCTCCGCTCTTATTCATAGTTTTCCCCATAGTTGCTACAAGCTGTCCCTTGAATTGCCAAGCATGATTTCTCCTTTCCTTTTTATAAGGATGTATAAGCAGATGGGCTTTAGTGTCAGTGACAGATTCCCCTTCTATCACAGGCAATGTCCTAATCTTTTCTATAAAATTATCAAGTTTCATCTTAAAACAAACCAGAGTTTTCAACCCATTACTTTCCTGGAATACTATTTCAGAACTTACTGTTCTAAGTCTGTTTTAGTCTAGTCTACCCTTGAATGGTTTAGAGTAGACTTGGTAGTGTAGGTTAATGGTTGGACTGGATGATCTTAAAGGTCTTTTCCAACCTAAACGATTCTATGATTCTAAGAGTTAGGAACCTTCTTTTACTACCCAGTCTAGCTTCATTCATAAGCATTCCTCTACTTTTCTCTCACGGTAATAACTCCAAAATCTTTTCCACCAGCAAATTTCATTAGCACATTTCTACATTGTGTGTCATTCTTGAATTGATTATTAAAATCAGCCTCAGATTGCTTCCTGAGGAACCTCACCATTTTTTCTCTACTTGTTCTCTGCTTCTTAAGAATATTCTCAGATACTTATATGATCCTCATAATTCCATGTACCCTGAAATTTCGTTAAAAACTCAGTCCAGAAATTTAGTCTTCCTGTTTTATATGTCTGTAAATTTCATGAACATTTCTTTAGTGTTACATAGAAATCATACAAATAGTAGCACTTATAGAGATCATTGCATCAATTTAGATAAGAATTGAAGTTAAAGTAAAATACAGTAAAAGTATCCATGCATCTGCTTAATCATTAGCTTTTGATGCTTCTGGAAGACCATGCCAGGCCCAAAGAGGGGCTAAGCAAATGATGAGTTCACAAGAGTCTCAAACTAACATCATCTGTGGATAGCTGTACCAGTACTGCAGTAACTAAAACATGATAAAAATACCTGGTTACAATTCCTGTCTTCCAGCGAACTCCAGAATGCACGGGCCATGTTAACACCTCCAAGATCTGTATGCTGCTACTCAGCACACCTACCTTCTCTTCCCACAGGTGTGGAACATCAGGAGAACACTATGAACTCTGACTAAGAACTAATACTCTATACATCAGGCCACCACATATCAGAAAAGACTCTCCCCTGAGGGCTTTCTAGGGCTGCCAAGTTTGGTTTAGGTCTAGCTCAAACATCTTGTGACCAGGAGTTCAAGATTTGTGCTGGTAGGAATTAAGGACCCCCCGTTATCAACATTGGCACAGCAATACAATTCTTTGCCTGCACCTGATCCTTCTGTGATTACAAAATAGGAAACTGAAGAAGGTCCTTGTATAACACAGCCTCTCCTCCAGTGTGTGGAATATTGAATCCCAAGGCCTTAAATGCAGGAACAAGTAACTCCCTTTTCTTTTCACTTCCCTGGGAATGGCACAGTTGGGGGAACATGTTTTATTTGACTGTCATCTCTTCACCAGTAACACCCAATGTGTGAAAGGCAGAGAAATTGCCTCATCAGGCTGACTAAAGGAGAGAGAGAAGTCCTACCACTTACAAAAACTGACTGGAACAAGCCTGGTTTCTTTTGGGTGAAAATTTCATTACTTCAGCTCCTCTGCCTGTTGACCCCACAAGCAAACCTTTCATCAGTAACAGATCAGATGGAGCCAAGCCCAACACAATCCTGGAATATGAGGTCACCACAAGCCTTACATGCTTCTGTGGGGAATCCCAACAGTATTGGGTGCTGAGCAAGATTCTGCCAGGAACACCAGACAGAGTTTACATTCTTGGCAGGAGTCGGTTCTATATATAGGTAGATGATAGCATTGCTATATTTGTCCTCAAAACAGGTTTCAGAATCTTCCTTGTCATGACAGCAAATGTCCTTGCCACAAGACGACATCAGAACAATCACCAAATCCATTTGATAATTCATAAAACCTCTCAGAAATTAAACTAAGAAAGCAACAACAAGCAACAATTATTTTCTCTACCTTTGGACATTTTTCCCAGAAAACATAATGCTGCTTCTTATCTAGAAGACGTAAAATCTTTCTACGCAGAAACATGTGATCACGCCTTCTTTTTGCCCTTCCCGTCCATCTACAAATAGGTAGTTTTGCTACCCACAGTTAAGGGGACGATCATGCTTCTAAACATCTAACATGACCCTGCTTGGTGTTATTATATACAAACTCCTCCAGCACCTCTCTTTTTCAAGCAACAAAGCCATGCATCAGAACATACTCTGCTCCACGCTATCATACTCAACAGTAGGCAATGAGATGTTTCAGTAACTTGTCACTCTCAAATGACCTCCTATCTTGCTCTCAGGGGGTGATGACCTTGAGCAGAGATTATTATTAGAGGTAAGAATTTTATAACAAAAAAAAAAAGCGCAAAAATAAGAAAACTAATTTTATGGAGAGGTGGCATTGAGGTATTCCTACCCAACCTTTCTTGGATACTTTAACATATGTTTACACCCACTTCTTGGAAATGCAAAAAATGAAAAGACAAATTTTAGAATTCAATAGCAGGCATGCTGCATTAAGACAGAGAGGCATTTTAGAAGCCTGAGTTGACCAAAGAACAGCTTAGATCACCAGATTAGAGAACAGCAATGGAAACTATGGCTTATGCTTTATACTGATCCAACAGGTCAGGCATTTAGGTAAACGATCAGTCTTTGCAACTATCTCCCTTCTGTGTCAACTAGTTAAGGCAGTCCACAGTTAGACAAAAATCCAGACCCCGTTCTCTAGGGTCCTCTTATCTCCTCACACTCATTCATAATGCGGCATTAAGTGTACATCCTCCATATTTTAACCAATATTAGCTGCTAGTCAAAACTCAAGGAAACATGCCGAAATCTCTCACCTCAGGTTTCCATGCTTTTGAAGAATCTGCAGCAAGTTAAACTGAGATTCTGAGTCTGGTTTTCGAAGAAACGGCTCTGTTCCATCTGCAGTTTTCTTGTCAAGTTTTTTTGGCAACCTCTCCTTACAAGGAGTTTTCACCAAGTCAGAGAGCTTTGGCTTGCTTTTCACCTGGGTGTCCAAAAGAGAGCCAACAGTTCTATCTAGCTCTTCAACTTCATCTGCATCCACCTCCTCTTCCTCCTCACCTTCTGTGTCTGACTTGAGGGACAGCTTTGTTGGTTCTGATGTCCCTGTAGTAGAGGAGAAATCACCCATGCTGGTTAAGAAAAAAAGAAGTGGGGAAGACTGTCCTGGTATTTATACCCTTTGAATTACTTCTAAAGTCTTTTCTGCTAGAAGGACAGAACACCACCATTTTAGAATAGCATCTTAAGTATCGCTGCCCTTTATTATTCTTACTTTCTGCTTGTGTGTCAAACAGTTGAGAAACCCATTTTCCCAGTATCAGAGAAGACAGAACAAGATTCTTGTCTTAATTTTACAAATGGGGGGTTTGGGGTGGGGGGTAGGGGTGGGGGTGTCAAAGAAACAAAGACATTTTCCTATCTTTTATCTCAATTCTTACATATGTACTGACATACAAATACACTCATGCTTCATGTATATACTCATTTTTTTGTATCTTTGTGTGTCAGGAAAAAAAAAGCTACGAAATCTAAACTTACACATGTGCCAATAAAGATCACATACCTTAACATAGCACCAAAAATCATTTTACGACATACAATCTCTCCCATTGCAGTCAGTATCACATAGCCACTAGAAAGGAGTTTAGAAAATGGCTTCAGGAACAGCCACTTGTGAGGATCATTCACATCTGTATCCTTTTAAGTTTGTCCCACATCAGCTTGGATAAGAAGGATTTCTCTCTTTCCAACAGCTTAGAGTCACTGCTGTGTAGGAGAACCAGCCTGGAAGGTCCCAAGTTTTTATATTTCTCTGAAAAGCTGGAGGACTATAGAGGCACACATACTATTGAATTCTTGTACCCAAAATGCAACTGCAAGCTCATCTTCAGGAAAATACTGACTACCTTTAGTCATATACATGGAGATGTGGAATAGTGGGAATGGAATTCTAGGCAATAAGAAGGCAGGAAGCTCAGAAGATGAATGAACTAAAAACTATTAACACTTGAAAGGAAAACTATTAACTTCAACCTGGGAATAGCTTTAAGGACTACAAAGGCCTGAACAACCCCATTCACACACATTTCAAATGGAAAAGTCCTTGCTTGCTTGTTTTTGACTAGCTGCTCATCTAAGACTCTGTCCATGCATACCTGATGATCTTGTTCGTGCTGTTCTAGCCTTGCCATGACATTGCCGGCGCTTCCGTAACTCCAGCGAAACAAGCTTTCTCTCATAAAAGAGAGCATGAGAGTCTACAGCTTCCAGCCTCATATCCAGCCTTCCATTAAGACCTGCTCTGGAAGCATAATACAGAGATATCCTCAATCTCCCTTTATACTTCTCTCCCTGATGATACAAGAGATTTAGTAGATTAAATTTCTTCAAGAAACAGTTTTCCTGACACAGGGAAAAAATATTTATGATCAGTCTAATTTCGCTCTATTTAAAGACTGAAAATGTTTGAAGGAAGCCTTGCACATACTTTACAGACCATCTCTCAAAGCCTTAAAGCACACTAATCTAGTGTCATGCTTTCATGACTGAGCAGCATCTGTCCATCATGCAGCAGCTCAAGGCACAATGAATAGGGAAAACTGAATTGCAAGAGTACAAAATAATGGAGGGGAGTGGGAAGAGAGCACATGGACCCGAGTATAGTCTTCTGATCCTTTTATGTAGACATCTTGTTCTTCCCTGTTTGGTCAGAGATAAGAATTTTAACATAATCCAAGTGAAAAATTACAACCTTTCTACAAGTTCTGCCTGAACCAAGGGAGAAGGAGCCCTGCCAGATTCCTTAAGGGAGACAAACATAACAACCTTCTGCCAGTGCACAAAGATCCAGCAAAGTGCTCTTTATGATAAAAGTGGGAACATCCACAGAAAATTCCTGTTGCTTCCTTTATCTTTTAGATCTAGCAAAGTGAGTATATGGGTATATGAAGTCCAAAACCCTCATGCATTACAGGATCTTTTGATAAAGCTCAGTGATTGGGCTTATGAATATGGCAGGACTGTAAAAGTGGGAAGCCTAAGAGGAGCCATTTTAAAATCCAATCCAACAAAACTTAAGTTCTCCACATGCTAGGATACTCTTTACTCACTGTATTTACTTTTCTAAAATTAGTTTGATGGACTTCAGATACAAAAGGTGTCAAGCCAGGACATGGAGGATGAAGCTGTGGAAATCTAAATTTAGAATAAATCCTACCAAGGACAAATTGTTTAATTAAGAAGCCATTTACCGGGATCTCCCAGTGATGAAGTCTCTTTTCATCTTGCCCCTACAAAGGGAAAAACAGCAAAAATTACCCTCCATTCTGGATCATCGACTTGATTAAAAAGCCTCTGAAGTCTTTCATATGTACAATGAAAAGGCCAAATTTACAGAATTCCTTATGAGTTCTATCTTAAAGGAGAAAACAGAGGCTCCAAAACAAGAACCCTGAGCAGCTGTTCTACAATTGATGCTTTCATCTGTCTGGCTTAGACTGGAGAAGGTGTCATTTGGAGCTACCCTCTAGACACATCCCTGGAAGTACACAGAAAAAAAAAATTGTACAGTGCTGATGCAGGAAGAGCTTCTGTAAATACCATCTCCTCAGTCAGCAACCTTACCCTTACTCTGTAGTTACTTTATTGTGGATCTCAAATTTGGGTAAGAAAAACCATTGAGAAGGAAGGCTGTTAAACATACAGTGCAAGATATTGCACACAACTCTCAACGGAAGTTCAGCTAGTGGCATGAACTGTCATTTCCACCCAAGCACAATCCAGAGAAAGAGGCATCAAATCATGCTTGCACAGGTCAAGAGATAGGGATACTAAGCCTCTGGAGTAAATTTCAGTGCTCACTTTACATGAGGACAAGCTCTAATGTGACTTTAAATTTGAAACAAAAGGTAAGCAAGGACCACCTGTAATCCCTTCATAGAGAAATCTAGGTGCTTGAAGGTTTTTCATGTCTATAGTAATCTTTTTACTCCAATAACTCCCATGCCTTCTGTGTATTGTCCTCTTTGCCATTGGATTCAGAAGCACAACACATAAAAGTGTGAGAAACCTCCACAGTCACTGGCACACTAGAGAGAGACGTGCAAGTATTACCACCCCTGTAAATCACAGACGGGTGTTTACAACATTGTATAAGTGAGGAATCAATCCTTTTCATGGTGTTTGTGCTCTTTGCCTCCCTCCCAAATAGAAAAGCTTTCTACCTGTCCTGAAACAGACGTGTAGCCAGCATGTAGTTCATTGATGTCTTGTGCTCTAAAAAGGATCTAGAAAAACAAAATACACAATGTATCAAGATAGAGCTGAACACAATGAAAGGCAGCATAATACAGAAATAAATGATCTATAAAAACCATCCCAGAAGTGACTGAGACAATATGCTGTACCATACAGAAAAGACAAAAGGAGGAGAGCTATCACTTCTCAGCTGAAGTTCCTGGCAAGACAAAGGACACAGAGAAACATTACAGACTGGAAGAAAAATTAGGAAAGTGTAATATAGTATCACTCACAGGATGAGTCCTATATTGTGTTTATGACCTAATGACAGAGTACACAGTATGTGCAGCTCGAGGA